GCTCCCTGCTCGGCAGGGAACCTGCTTCTCCCTCTGACCCTCCCCCCTTTCATGTGCTCTCTGTCTCTCTCATTCTCTCTGTCTCAAATAAATAAATAAAATCTTTAAAAAAAAAAAAAAACATAAGTTAAAATTTGCCATTTTAACCATTTCAGTGTTACAGGTGTACAATTCAGTGGTATTAAGTACATTCACGGTGTTGTGTAACCATTGTCACTATTTCCAGAACTTTCTTTTTCTCATCATCCCCAAAACAAACACCATATCCATGCCCCCCCCCCACCAGCCCCTAGCAGCTTCTATTCTACTTTCTTTCTCTATGGATTTGCCTACCCTACATATTTCATGTGAGTGGAATCCTATAGTATCTATCCTTTTGTGCCTTTGTTTACGTACCATAATGCCTTCCATGGTTCATCCATGTGGTAGCATGAATCATTGTTTCTTTTTTTTTTTTTAAAGATTTTATTTATTTATTTATTTGAGAGAGAGAGAGAGAGACAGAGAAACAGCATGAGAGGGGATAGGGTCAGAGGGAGAAGCAGGCTCCCCGCTGAGCCGGGAGCCCGATGTGGGACTCGATCCCAGGACTCCGGGATCATGACCTGAGCCGAAGGCAGTCGCTCAACCAACTGAGTCACCCAGGCGCCCTGAATCATTGTTTCATTCATGTTAGTGACGAAGTACGATTCATTGTAGGGACACACCACATCCATTCATCTCTTGATAGACTGGCTGTTTGTACCGTTTGGTGGTTGTGAATAATGCCGCTGTGAACATTGGTTCAAGTCCCTGCGGCCAGTTCTTTTGAGTATGCACCCGGGCCGGGAGTGGCATTGCTGATCATATGATAGTTCTATATTTAACTTTTTGAGAAACCACCAGACTGTTTCCCACGGCAGCTGCACCATTTCGCGTTGCTGTCAGCAGCGCACAAGGATTCCGGTTTTCCCACATCCTCATCAACATTTGTTATTTAACATTTACCAACTTTTTTTGGAAAATAGCCGCCCCAATGGGTGTAACGTGCTATCTTGGGTGGTTTCAATTTGCATTTCCATAATGACTAATGAGGTTGGGCGCCTTTCCATATGCTTATTGGTCATTTGTAGATCTTTGGAGAAATGTCCTTTGCCCATTTTCTAATTGGGTTCTTTGTCTTTTTGTTGTTGCAAAGTAGAAATTCTTTATATATTCAAGACCCCCGTTCTTTTTTGAGAGAGAGCGAGGCATGAGCAGGGGGAGGGGCAGAGGGAGAGAGAGAATTCCAAGCAGACTCCCCGCTGAGCACAGAGCCCCACATGGGGCTCGATCCCACGACCCCGAGATCATGACCTGAGCCAAAACCAAGAGTCAGATGCTTAAGTGACTGAGCCACCCAGGCACCCCTATATTTTCAAGATATTAGACCCTCATCAGATGTATGATTTTCAAATATTTTCTCCCATTCTGTGGGTTGTCCTGATGTCCCTTGGCTCTTTTGATAATGTCCTTTGATGCTTTTAATTTTAATGAAATTCAATTTATTTTTCTTTTGTTGTCTGTGCTTTTGGTGTCATATCTAAGAATCCATTGCCAAATTCAAGGTCATGAAGATTTACTCCTATGTTTTCTACTAAGAGTTTTATAGTGTTACCTCTGGAAGTCAAGGCTTTGATCCATTTTGAGTTAAATTTGGATGTGGTGTGTAAGAGTCCAACTTTATTCTTTTGCATGTGGAAATCTGTTTGTCCCAAAGCCATTTATTAGAGGGACTGTTCTTTCCCATAGAGTGGTCCTGGCACTCTTGTTAAAAAATCATTTGATCATAGACATGAGGGTTTATTTCTGGCCTCTCAGTTTTGTTCTGTTGGCTTGTATGTTTACCTTGTGCTAGTACCACACTGTCTTATTTACTGTAGCTTTGTAGTAAGTTTTGAAATCACGAAGTGTGAGCCCTCCAACTCTGTTCTTTCTCCAGATTGTTTGGCTATTCGGATTCCAAATGACCTTTTGGAGGATTTTTCTATTCCTACAAAAAAATGCCATTGGAATTTTGATAGGGTTGCATTGTATCTGTAGAGGACTTTCACACTGACATCTTAGCAATATCGCATCTTCCAGTCCATGAACATGGGATGTCTTTCCATGAATTTGTGTCTCTCTTTATTTCTTTCATGCTCTCATGATACTAAATGTATCATCTGTGGAAGCCTTATAAAGGCCTAGCCTCTTCAGCCAGACCCTGAAGTCCGTGAGCAGCTTCTCCCTGCACTACCACCACTGCCCAGAGGTCAACAGCCACGAAAGATAGGAGACCCGGGATCCTGCATCAAAGCTTTGCCTCCATCCCTTGATGTGGCCAAGAAACCATGTTAGAAACTGTGCTCTGCGAGCCACTTAAAAAGTTTCCCTTATGGCTTGTTTTGAACACATACAAAACAGAGAGAATCTGAGAGTTGCCACTTGGCTTCTGTGCTCTGGCCTCTTGGCCGGGGGTTGAGTTTCCTTTATCCTCCTGATGATGCCCCCTCCCCCCAGAATGGTTTATAAAGCATTGTCCTTTCTGTTTGCATGTCTGTTAGGTAACCGGGACTCAGAGCCAAAGCAGAGCCACCTCCCGGGTGTGGCCCCTCCCTGTGCCCTCCTATCGGCCCTGAGGTACACAGTGCTGTGCAGACAGATCTAGAGATTAGAGATTTACAAGCCAGATTTTTAACACAAGCCAGGTATTACGGAGATTGAAATTTATAGCTTATGACCCCAGAGTCCAGCAAGTAATTGGTTACCTAAGTAGAATATTACTTCTTATTTTTGATATTTATTTCCAACATTTACTGGATATTTTTTTAAATGCGGAGAATAAAACAGAGGGGCCCATTTTATCATCACCCAAACACTACTACGAGTAATAATAGTAATGACAAAGCAACACAGGTGTGTGGTTAGGAAATCCTAAGCAGTAGAAAGTTCCAGCTCCTGGGTGCCTGGGTGGCTCAGATGGTTGAGTGTCTGCCTTCGGCTCAGGTCATGATCCCAGGGTCCTGGGATCAAGTCCTGCATTGGGCTCCCTGCTCAGCGGGGAGCCTGCTTCTCCCTCTGCCTCTCTCTCTATCTGTCTCTTATGAATAAATAAAATCTTAAAAAAAAAAAAAAAGAAAAGAAAGTTCCAGCTCCTTCAGGCTGCAGGGGCCTCCCCTCACTACTTCCTGTCAGCTGTCCCCCAGAAGAGAGATAGTCCGCCCTTATCCACTGTACCCTCCCCCCCGTGTGACCCCCTCACCGGCCTCCTGGGTCATGCTGCATGCTGCCCCTCAGGGGCCCTTGCCCAGTGTGGGCCCCAGAGCTTTGGCAGACAGGACACCTGATGTACTCTTTCTGGCATGGTGGGGCCTAGGGCGCACCGCAGGCAGGGGCACCACACTCTGGTGCTGAGACCTGCCACACCTGCTTAGGACTTCAAGCCTTCTGCTGTCATGTGTCCCTGGTGTCCCAGGCTGAAATCTCACTACCTCTTTGGGGCCTTCAGCTTTCTGAGGACGGAAGGGTGAAGCGCTGCCATAATGGGCAAGGCTGGCCTTGAGGAAGTGGCCCAGATATCTGGACCCTGGTCATTTTCAGCTTATTGTTTCTGTTGGTGAGATCTAAAGGCAAAAGAATCCTGCACACAATTTCTCTGCTGCTGAGCTCAGAGAAGGAGTGCACAGACCCATTCTTGAGCATGGAAGGCAGGAGCTGGCTGGGAGAGCGGTTCCGAAGGTCAGGGTGGGCCTGGGAACAGGAGAGCAAGGGTGGGCAGAGGATTGGGGCCCATTGTGTGTACACACTCCGACCCATTGATGAAGTGTTCAGTGTAAATAGGCCACATGGCCTACAACACCTGAATCTGGGTGTCCACACTCCCTTGGGGCAGAGCCTCAGTTTTCCCTTCCTCTGCCCTGTTCCCCAAACCACCACCGTCTCCTCATGGTCCAGCGTGGTGGGGTGTAGAGCGCTCAAAGGTCCTCAAGCGCTCTTGCCACCAAGGCTCTCAGCCTGCCTGCTCTCCCGGATGTGCCTTTCCAAATCGGAACCTCTGGGAGAGCAAGGGCCTGTGTGGTTGCTGGGGTTCCGTGGCCCTTCCTTGTGAGGCACCTCAGAGCGACCCATCGGCCCCGGCGGAAGCTTCCCATGTTCCTCTTTATTTTTGCCCTTTCCCATTTTTTAAGGTGTCTTGCCTGAACTCTGAGCATCTGCCCAGAATACCGCAGACTGCTCTGTGCTGGCCAGGTGCCCAGGGCTGAGGGGTTCAACCTTGCCTGTGTCTCCAGGGGCCCCGTCTGACTGGGTCCCGAGCTACCTGAAGGGAGGTTGCCAGGGGGAAGTGGTGCCGTCCCGGTAGTTGTCTGCTACAGCTGGGGGGTCTCCCTCACCTATGGTGCAGGCGGCAAGGCTGGCTTTCACCCAGGGCGGATGCAGCACTGGTAGCTGTCCCCGAGGGGAGTGGCGAGCAGGTCTCTGTCCTGTGTGCCTGGCCTGGGCACCGCCTGTGTTCTTACCTGGAAACTCACTTAAAGGGCCACACGAGTGTCCCAGACTATTCCTGGTGTGAGGACCCAAGAGAGCTGTACACGGACGGGGCCTCCCCTGTGCCCACCTCCGTCAGGGCTGTCAGGGAGGGTCCCCAGGCAGGAGGGCCAGACACAGCACCTGCTCTGTGTGCCTGAGGGAGCAGCCCCAGGGGCAGGAAGCTGTTTGGGGGCAGGAGGTCTGCATTCCCCTGGCACTGAGATGAGCCGGGTAATTGGGACACATGGCTAGCCTCTCGAAGGCTCGCATCAGCAATGGGGGGCAAGAGCAGCACCCCCAAATGGAGGAGAGGGTGGGTAAGCCAGGAGGGGCAGGTCTGCACTAATGCCGAGGGGCTCTGAGCCCCCAAGCTGGCTACGGGGCTTCCTGGCCAGCCGCGAAGCACCGAAGCCCGTTGCCCTCCCCCTCCTCTCCCCTCCTCCTCACCCCATCGTATCCCTGCCCTGTCTCAGATGCCGGAGGCCCCACCACTGCTGTTGGCAGCCTTCTCACTGGGCCTGGTGCTCCTGGCGCTGGTGCTGTGCCTGCGACGCTGGGGCTTGGCCATACCCTTTATCTACTGGCACGAGCTGGTCGTGCAGCCCCTCTACAACCTGTTCATGGGCAACACCAAGGAGCAGCGCATCCTGCACCATGTGCTGCAGCACGCAGTGGCCGGGGACCCACAAAGCGTGCTGAAGGCCATCGATACCTACTGCTTGGAGAAGGAGTGGGCTATGAACGTGGGTGACAAGAAAGGTGGGCAGCCCGGCCAGCAGGTAGTGGGCATGGGAAAGGGGACCTCGGCGGGGGCAGCACAGCCTGTAAAGGAGAGGCCTGTTGTCACTGCTTCTGGGTGTTGGGGTGGGGGCTTGCCTGGAGCCCTGAGCTGCCCACGCAGCCGCTCCCCGGCCAGGGGTAAAGGCTGTGCAGAGGCCCCGGCATCCGCATCACTGTCCTCGTGGGGAGGGACGGACTTTCGATAAACTGCCCGGGACCCTTCCTTGCCACACAGCGACTCAGCCGACATTAGTCGGTAGGCCTGGCACGGGCATGCCTTCTCATGGAGCTGGGTGACGCCAGCTGTCCCTGATGGGCATGAGGGTGCACAGAGCTCCTGGGACTCTGTTCCGCCCAGGCCTCAGGGCCGCCTCCTGACCTTTGGACTCCAGCCTGGGGTACGGGCCTATGCTGTGCTATACCCCTGGGAGCTGGGCCCTGGGGACAGATGAGATAGCCATTGTCCAGCCCCCTTGGAGCCTCTGACAGTGTCCAGGCCCGGGGGAGGGGGGCAGGGAGGCCCTGAGTGCAGCCTGTGGGCACGGTGGGGTGAGGGCTTCTGCAGGGGGCAGCTCTGGGTTAGGACGAGTTGGGCTCAGTCAGGAACCATGCGAAAGAGAGGGACTAGCGTGTGCTGAGACCCAGAGGCCTGAGGGACTCTGGAAGCTCGGAGGGTGTGTTTAGTGCGATGGGGGGCGGGGGGAACAGGCATCGGGAGGGGTCGATGCTCAGTCTGGAAGGAGCGGGCCCAGGACCAGGAGTGGGTCACCTCCCCCTGCTGCGCTCACGCCCTCCTCCGCCCCGCAGGCCAGATCTTGGATGCGGTGGTGCGGGAGCAGTGCCCGCGGGTGGTGCTGGAGCTGGGCGCCTACTGCGGCTACTCGGCCGTGCGCATGGCCCGCCTGCTGGAGCCCGGGGCCCGCCTGCTCACCATTGAGATCAACCCGGACTACGCCGCCATCACCCAGCAGATGCTGGACTTCGCGGGCCTGCAGGACAGGGTGTGTTGCTGCCCCAGGGTGAGGAGTGCAGGCACGGAGGCGCCAGGGGCTGTGCGAGGCGGAGGGGAAGGGCCTGCGTCGCCCCAGTGCAGTTCAAGGCCGCATTCAGCCTGTTGTACCTGGCCTCGTGGTGCCTCCCAGGCCAGGTTTCCCGGAAGCCCCAGCAGCTCTGTGAGGGAGGTCTCGCCACCCTGTTGAACAGAGCAGGAAACTCCCAAGACCACCCTTGGAGGGAGGGGTAGAGTGGGGACTTATCTCCCCAGAACCCCAAAGAACACTGGTGGTGACACTCGAGCCGGTGTCCAGGCAGGGCGGTCTGTGAGAATGGGCACCGACAGAGTGCCGTTCCAGGTCACCATTGTGGTCGGGGCATCCCAGGACTTCATCCCACAGCTGAAGAAGAAATATGACGTGGACACGCTAGACATGGTCTTCCTCGACCACTGGAAGGACCGGTACCTGCCGGACACGCTCCTCTTGGAGGTGAGTTGTGCAACCGCCTGGCCCACATGGGCCTCGTTGCTGACTGCTGGTGCAGGGGCTGCCCTGGCTGGCCCTGGTGGCATCGGTGATTTGGGCAGGGAGTGTGGAGGGCCAGAGGAGGCCTCAAGGGCGGCATGGAGATGGGAGGAAGGGTGTTCTGGGCAGAAGGAGTTGGCTGGGCCTGCTAGGTGGCCTGCGCTGGGATGGCAGGGAGGGGTGAGCACCAACAGGGCATCTCCTGCCTGTTTTCCCCTGAGGCTTCTTATTGCGCAGCCCCCTCCACCCCTCTGTCCCTGTGCTCACATCCCATCCTGTCCCAGCCCTCAGTGTGGCTGCTTGGCCAGCCACAAGTGAGGCTGCCTCGTCCCCAGGTGGGGCACCGGGCGGGCCCTTAATGAGCTGACACACACAGCTTTATATCGATGATCACTACCTTCCCCCACCTGGGCGGTCAAGATCACACTTCGTGGCTACTTGGCCCTCCACTGGGGGCTCGGATGTTTCGCCCCACCACGGCCTCCCCCTCCTGGTGGCCAGCATGGAGTGATTCCATGTTGTCCATCCCATGCTCACCCACCTCAGTTCCCCCACTGGCTGGCCACTCTGCCCGGTGCAGAGGGACTGTGAGCATGGGCTGCATGGCCACCGGAGCCATGGCTGGAGGCTGGGTAGGACCTTGCACCAGTGGTTCTAGTGCAGACGTGGAGGGCCAGGTGCTTGGCCATGCAGGAAGGAACCTGCCCCGGCCGGGGGGTCTATGAGGGCACAGGATATTGTGGGGATATTCTGGGGCAGTGGCCCAGAGCCACACGTGGAGGGCCCTGAACGCCACACACTGGTGGGGACATGGGGGGTTTTAAGCGGGTGACAACAAGGTTAGATCTGTCCCCAGAAAAGATCTCTGTTGGGTGCGTGGAGTGTGGGGAGGGATGGCTGTAGAGAGGGTGGTGCTGAGCTCTGAGCGTGGAGGGGGACAGGGGAGCCAGGAGCTAGAAGTTGGACTGGTCACCTGCTGAGACAGGTGTTCAGTGGGGGATGGCAAGGAGATCCTTGGGCCAGGAGTGAGGCAGCTGTGGGGAGCACGGCCGGCCAGGGGAGGCCCATCTCCAGGCCGGGGGCGTGAACCTGGAAATCAGGTGTTGAGGGCAGAGGCCAGACAGCCAGCCCAGCCGGGCCTGCACAGGGAGGGAGGGATTTCAGCAGCTCTGGTGTGTGTGATAATTGCAGGGCCTGCATTTATAGAAAAGTAGCAAATATTGCTGTTTCGTAACTAGGAAACTAATAGTTTTCTCAGCGCTGCTTGTTCAAAGCTGGTAATTATCTCAAAAGAAAAGAAGTCATGAATTGGGAATGGCTGTGCTTTTTACACACGCATTCTTTAGCCCCGCAGCTGGGCTCTGCGGGCCCTCGGCTTTTGCCGGGTCAGCCTGGCTCTGCAGTGGCCCCACCGTGCCTCTCTCAGTCGGGGTTTAGAGGCTGGCAGGGGTGGGTGGCAATTTGAAATCGGATGGCTGCTCTGAGGAGGCCTCAGTGCCATTTCTCACGGGCTCTCCACAGGGCTGCTTGGGTGTCCTCACAACATGGCGGCGGCTGGCTTTCCCTATAGCCAGGGGTGGGAGGCAGAGATGGGAGGGGCAACACAGGAGCCCTGGTGCCTCTGCAGGCGGACACGCCCCCGCCTCTGCCTCCTTCCCTTTGTTAGATGCGAGTCACTAAGCCCGGCGCCCACCCAACGGAAAAGGAACTGTGCACAGTTTAAAACCACCTCCAGGAAGGCTGTTTTCCTCCCCGCAGGGGTTCACGCAGCGGGTTTGTTCAGATGTGGTCGGCTTCTGGCCAGAATTCTCTGAGGGGTCTGTGTCCCGTGTTGGGAGGCGTGTGGTGGCTGGAGAAAGGCAGGATAGGTGCTGCCTTTTTCTCCCTTCCGTCCAGCTTCCTCAAGGGTGGGTAGGCCCCAGCACCCTCCAAACGTGCCCAAAGCTTCTTTCTTTTGTTCTTTCTTTCCTGGTTAACTCATTGGTTTCCTGTGTCTGATGACCTTCAGGCCACTGACTGTCCCATCTGGGGCCAGCAGTGCCTCCTGAAGTCTGCTCCTGCTCACCTTGTCTGCTTCCGGCTGGAGACCTGAGCTGCCTTTCCGGGGCTTGGGCCCGGGGCGCCTCCTCCGGGACAGCTCTCCATTCTAGGGCTTTCTAGCCAAGACTGCTAGGGAGCTTTCTTTTTATACGAGGAAATGCACCATGATTCACAGTGGTACTTAACTGTTCAAATTCTGGCTCATGGGTTGTCTCTTGCCTCACTGACCTCACAGCTGAGTTTTCCAGTCTGGCTACGGAGGACCCTTGGCTTCCCCCACAGCCCACAGGCTGGAAGGGACCGTGGCCACCAGGAGAAGTGAGACACTTGTAAGACTCTGTGCTAGGGCACATCCCTGGGGCGGGGGGGGGGGGGGGGGGGGCGGAGTGGGATGCAGAGTTAAAGCCCTTGTTTTTAAGTCACTTAGAGATGCTCCATTGCATGTGGTCCTGTTGGCAATTTGAGACCTGCCTGGGGTCACTTTGATTTTGCTTTTGAGGTTTCGGATTGCTTATTTTTTTTAACTTTTATGATCATGTGAAAAAGCAGCTCTCTGCTTCCAAAGTTAAACCTAGGACAAGGCAACTGGGCTGACCAGTTGCCCTGGTCTGCCCCTCCGGCACAGGCAAGCAATTCCTCTCCAGCTCTCTTTCCATTGCTTCCTATAATCTAGGCAGCCTTGCCCCCAGCGCACCACCCTGGCCGTGTCTATCTGCTCCTTCCTTCTGCAGAGCCCAGGCCCAGGCGCTGGCAGAGAAGGGGCGTCTCACATGCCAGAGTCTGGGGATGTCCAGAGCAAAGCCCCGAGGGGCCCCCATCCCTGCAGGGTCACCCTGGTCAGGCCGATGAGGACCTCAAGTGACAGCGCACAGCAGCCCGTGCACTGGGCACCAGGCATCTCACCTGCAAGAGCCCGGCACCGGGTGACCGAAGGACCCGCTGGCCTTGAGTCGGCCCTATGGCCGGAATCCTGGCTCCGTTGTCTCTTCCACTTCCTCATCCGGCTAACATCACTGAACAATTCCTGTGTGCCTGCCACACGCTGTCCTAGGGGCTGGGGACGCAGGACCTAACGGGGAGCAAAAGAGTTTCCGTCACAGAGCCACATTCTGGAGGCAGGACTTGTGCTCAGCTGCCAGGGAGGAGATGGGAGGCAGTGGGGAGACCCTTGTGACCCCAGGAGCTGGAGCGGGGCTGACTCCAGGCCAGGCAGAGGCCAGTGTATGGAGCCACCATCTCCAAGAGCATTTATCCTCCCAGTTTGGGACGGGCTTGCCGGGCACCTGTCACCCTCACCCTTTCCCACCATCTGTCCCCCGCAGGAGTGTGGCCTGCTACGGAAGGGGACAGTGTTGCTGGCCGACAACGTCATCTTCCCGGGAACACCAGACTTCCTGGCGTATGTGCGCGGGAACAGCCGCTTTGAATGCACACACTTCACCTCGTACCTGGAATACTCAAAGGCAGTGGATGGCCTGGAGAAGGTTGTCTACGTGGGCCCGGGCAGCCCAACACAGCCTTGACCACCCACCCTGCTCCCGATCCCTTGCCAAGCCTGAGGGCACAAGGGATGCGCCCCTGCCAACCCGCTTTTGCAGTTCTGGGGTCCAGTGTAGCACGCTTGAGGTGTATGAGCCCAAAGCCTGCCGGCCCTGGCCCCTCTCCATGGCGACTCCAGGTTGTCACCCCTGGTCTACCCCAAGTGTGGCCCGCTCACCATACACAATCATTGCAATAAATCTGTAAAGTATGTTTGTAAATACCAAATCAGGACGGGTGGTGCCCAGGACAGTGTCTTTTGCTCCCACCAGCATTTCAATCAATAGGGTTTCTTACGCAGATGGGTCTTCAGGCATCGACATATGCAGTAGACGCTGGAAGTGGGAACCCGTGGAAACTGTTGAGCTGTGCACTCGCAGTCTGTCCTCGAGGTTTGCTGTCACCAGGTGGCAGCAATGCCTCAGTGATGGCACCGTGCCCAACAACTCACACCCACTTGTGATTCCTGAGTTCTTTCACCTTTTTAAGAATGAAATGTACCTTCTTTACTAAAATCAGCTCACTACTACTAATCCTGTATACCAGTATCATGTTTAAAAGATGCTAAAAGAGAAATTAAAATTTTAAATATTTAAATAGATCAATTTAGTGTTTCTTTTTAACTGCTTCCCCGCTCCTTCTTTCCCCACTGCCCTCAGCTAGTGCTCCTCTTCACTGGATGCTAATGTTGGTCCAGGGGGCTCATGTGGCCAGGCTGAGGTTACCTGTTGCATCCCCATGGGGATGTGGGCAGGCTGAGGTGAGCCCCCATCTGGAGGCTGTCCTGGGAAACTGGAACAGGGCAGCTGGTCAGCCTTCCTGTCCATCTCTGACCAAGCAGGCACTAGGGAACGGTGGACATGGGGCCCCCGCCACAGTGCAGGGTGTGAGCTCTCTGGCACCTGGCCCCTTGGGGTCCCTGTGTGGCACTGAGTAGAAGCGAACTTCCCCAGTCCTACTCGGCCTTGTTTACGGAAGACTGGGCTCAGGTCAGCTCTGGCGCTTCTACAGCTGCCCAGCTAGCAAGGGAAGTAGAATTGCTTTGCATCTACCTAAATCCACAGCTGCCTAAATCCCCAGTCCCAACCCTGGCTCCTGGCCCCAAGGCCCCCTAGCTACCTCAGAGGCTCTCCAGGGATCCCACCCCTGCCCCCCCCAATCCTGACTGAGCCCACCTGTGTGCAGACTGACCTCTGGCCACGACACCACCGTGGGAATCAGGGCCTAGCTAACCACCCCAAAGCAAGCCCTCTCCTGTGTGTGTGTGCAGAAAGGGGATCGCAGTGAGCCTGGGACATGTGCAGAAACACCCCTGCAGCCTGGGAGCTGAGCCCCCTCTGGACAGAGCACATGGACACCCGGGGGCCACCTCCACCCATGCCCCACCTGGCAAGCAGGGAAGAGCGAGCAGCTGGTGGCAAAGGATCTGAGCTGCAGAAAATAGGAAGTTTCCTTTGTTGCTTTTTTTAATTTTTAAGTTTTCTTACAAAAATTTAGGTGTTTACCAATACAGTCTTATTTTGGTTTTGTTTTTAATGCTTTTTGTCAGTGTTTTTCTTCGGTTTTTAAGTCACAAACAGCAGGCACTAGGCAGCGTCCCCCGCTGCTGCCGAAGGTCAGTCCCAGAGGGGTGACTCCGGACTCCAGCAGACAGGGTCTGGTAGCCACGGCCAGGCCAGAGTCGCTCAGGGAAGGCTCCTGCTGCACTGGGGTTCCATGTAGCCGAGGGCAGGGTGGGGGCAAGCACAGCCTGACCCCCATCTTGCTGCCTCCAAAGCCTCTCTGCACGCATGGGCCAGTCCGTGCCCCCACCCCCTGCCACGGGCCATGCAGGGTGGGACTCAGCGCCCAGCGGATCCCCTCTACCTTCCAGAGTCAAACTCCTTCTCTGAGCCCCTCTCCTCCCTTCCCTGCTGTAGGCTCCTCTGGGGCCCCGCACACACAAGAGCACACTCTTCTATACCACCAGCCCCAAAGCAAAGCCAGGTGCCCTTCCTGCCGCTTCCCTGGGCCCCACTCTGGCAGCTCCACTGGCTTTCTCTCTCTCTCTCTCTCTCTCTCTCTCTCTCACTCGCACACAGCACCATGTCAGTAAACAGCTAACTCAGCCTAGGGAGTTAGGAGGGAGGGAGCGAGGGGCGGGAAGGGAAGTGTGTCCAGAATGTCCGGCCCTGGCTCCCCGGCGAGAAGCGCTGCCAACCCCGGCCGCCAGGGGGCTCCAAGCTCCACAGCAGGGTCTGTCTGGGAGGGCCGGCCCTGGAGTTCCCTTCTTCCCACGATCAGGTCCCTAAGAACAAATGGCTGGGCCGGAGACCTACAGAGGGAGAGGGGAAGGTTAAGCAGGGCAGCCCGGGGTCTGGCGGACCCCTCCACAGACTAGGCCAACGAAAGTGTGGACCAAGGCAGCTACTGGAGGTGGCAGAGGCTGACCCCGAGAATCTCAGCATCAGGGCCAATCCGACTTGCTGGTCGTTCGGGGGGCACTGTGCTTGGGGCATTTAAATGTGGGGGGCCCATCCCTACTCTGGCCCCATTTGCTCTGGGCCCCGATGACACAGTGCCTGAGCCGGGACTGCAGGCCCATAGGGGCATGTCCATCTCAGACCTCAGCCTATCCCTAAGATGGACATTTGAGCCTGCTGAGCTGGAAGCCAGAGTCCCACCAGGGAGCACCAAGGGACAGAACATGCAGCCAGCAGAGATTAACAAGAAGCCCCTTCCCAGAGGACAGGAAACAGCTGAATGAAAAACCAGACGAGAGAGAACGTACCAGGCATGCAAGCTAGACCCAGGAGTCAACGGGCTGAGGCTTAGCGTCCCCCACGGCGTCCACCAGCCTGACCGCGGGCCTGCTGGGCCCAGGAGGAACCTTCCTGCCGGGGTCGGGCTGCAGCGGACAGGCAGTGTGCAGGAGGGCGTTAGAGGCAGAACAGAGCAGGTTAGTCAGCGCTGATGGGTGGGGGCTGGGCTACTCAGTGGGTGAGGCCAGAGCCGGGGTGCACACGATGGGGAAGCTGAGCTAGTGTGGCTCACAAAGATGCACACGGACGCGTGGACACACACAGGCCTGTGCCCAAAGCCAGGGATGGTCACAGAGCAGGTTGGCAGGTACCACCCTGGAGGCAGGAAAACAGTGGGCCCATCCCTGCCCCCAAACACACACATATGCAGGCAGAGAAGGGTGAAGACACTTGTACTCAGACTCCCCTGGCCCTTGTGCATTGTTCTGGGCAGTGCCCTCTGTCCCATGCCCCCTCTCTCCCAGTGGCTGTGAGCTTCAAACCACCTGCACCCACAGACCGACTCCGACGATAAACTTCCCAAGGCTGGGGGGCCAGGCCCCAGGCTCCATCTCCCAGCCCAGCTGCCCTGCAGGCGAGCCCCACCCCAGGTGGACCGGCCAGCCTAAACTCAGCACCTTGCCAGGGCCCCTCTCAGGCATGCCCTAGGCACCTCCCTAGGCACCTGCCCACAGCCACTTACTTTCAACGGTTCCTTCTCAGAGGCCTCCCCTGCAGGGTCATTGCCTCGAGCCCTCCGCTCCCTCCGGTCCACAGTGGAGTATCCGTCTTGGGGTGGGGACATGAGGGGAACTCTGAGGGGCAGGCATTGCAGGAGCAGATCTCTCCCTCAGCCCAGACACAGGGGGCCCCTGGGACAGGGTTCATTGGGAGATACCCCCACCTGCCCTGCCCCAGCACTGTGCTGGAGGCCTAGGCCAGGTCTTCTCGTGGCCCCTCCCACCATGGTGGCTCAGAACCCTCCAGCCCCCTTGGGCTGGCAGACCAGAGACTGTGGCTGGGCACTGACCCCTCCCTGGTTGCCCACCCCCCTCAGCAGCACCCCTAAACCAAATTCTCTTTTCCAACCAGCACCTCCTTGGAAGGCTTTCCCAGCACCAAACACACAAGGCAAAACCACCTGGCCCATTTCAGCACCATCCCCGCCCCCGCCCCCCCCCCACAGGAAACAAGCAGCCCTGTATCTGCACTCACCTGGGCCAAGTGCCTCCATGGGGATCACGTCCCGGCTGCCTGGTTTCTCGCCATCTGCAAGGTATAAGCCAGGTGGCTGGCTGGTTGCAAGAACCAGTGGGGATACCAGGACAGACAAACCCACAGCAGGGCTGGCCTCCGTTGACCCGGGTACGCTTTGTTGCTAACATCTTTTAACATCTTTGCACCATTCTGCCAGTCCTCTGCCATTGACACCCCCCCACCCCCACTTAACATCAATGTGGACACCATGGGTGTAGAGGTTGTAGGAGGCTGCAAGCCAGGAAAGGGGCCCCCCTACCCCTCACCTGCCTTGTCACCATCAATGCACCTAGGTGGAGGAGCATCTCTTATACCTCAGAGATAGGTTTCCACGCCCCGACCCCGTATTCACCAAGGCTCTTGTCCACCAGTGGCAGCGTGCTGTCGTCAAAGCCTCCGGGACTCGGTGCTCCTCTGGGTCCCTTAGCGGTAGCAGCGGCTGACTAGGGGTGGAGGTGGGGGGGGGCACAAAACAGGGTGTGGGGTCAGGGGCATTCCCGTGGGGGACCTAGCCTGGAAAAGTGAAAGAGGAAAAGAAAGGCCAGGCAGGCCGCACCTGGAAGCGTGCCTTGGTCCAGCCATCCTTCTGCAGGGCGCCACGCAGCTCCTTGTAGCTCCACACAGTCTGCAGCACGTGGGAGGCGGCCTTCGCTTCGCGTACCGATTGGCTGCGGCCAGGCACAGGGCGGGATCAGCACTAGCCCCGCCCCCCAGGCCCCGCCCGCCCCCGGCTGCACTCTCACCCACCTGGCAGCGACGAGGGCCACCAGCGCTGGAACGCCTTGGGCCTGGAGTAGTGAGCGCGCATTGTCCAGGCTGTCGGACACGATCTCGTGGATGGTGTTGAGCACGGCCACCACGGTGTCCTCCTCCAGGCGGGCACCCGGTCGCGCCGGAGCCTGCGCATTGCGCACGTTCCGCACCAGCTCGGCCATGGCATAGCTCCCTGAAGGGCAGGAGTTAGTTGTCAGGGCACGCCTCTGCCCAGCCCAGCGGGAGGGAGCGGGATCCACCAGGAGAGCCCCGGCAAGCTGCAAAGTCACCCACCGTGTCTAGGGCCTAGGCCTTGAGACTGCTCAGGGATGGAATGATAGGGGCAGGGCTGGGCCCCTGAACTCCTCCCCACCCTGCCGGCCCCCAGCCCCTGCTGGTGGGACCCCAGAGCAGCCCACGGGGTTCTGCATCCCGGCTCTGCCCCACCCGCATCCTCACCAATGAGGTCCTTGTTGCGCCGGTCCAGGGAGAGGTTGCGCAGGGCGATGGCGACAGCACGCACCACCTTGTCAGTCTCGGACTGCAGCAGCTCCACGAGCACCGGAAGGCCACGCTCCTTGCGCACCGTGGCACGGATGTAGGTGGCCCACTGTGGCAATGGAGCGGGGAGTGTGCTCAGCACACTGGGTCCCGCCCACACGCCTCGACACTCTGCTACCTGAGCTGCCTGTTCCCTCTGGCTGGACCCTCCTCCCTGGCAAGACAAAGCCCTACCCAAGCAACTCAACGCCACCTCCAGCTGGCATCCTTTGTGCCGCGAACCTCCCGGACCCTGGGGAAGCACTGTGTC